CCATGATCCTCAGATCTCAGCCTCCTGAGTAGCTAGCATGACAGTCATTAGCCACCAGTGCCTGGCACATTCTGGATATTTTTCTATCAGCTGTTGCTCCTGGGGGAAATTTCTGATCTGATCCTCAGCTTCAGAGCTGGGATCAAGTCCTGCTCCTGAGGACCAACTAGAGATGTGAAGATAAAATTATCCACGTGGACATTGGAAAAAAAAAATAGGATGGTACCTGGAGCCACACCCCCATCCTTAAGAAACACTGATTCTTGTTTATTTCATTTTTATTTTTATTTATTTTTGGGTCTGGTCGTGGGGCCTGAACTCTGGGCCTGGGCGCTGTCCCTCAGCTCTTCAGCTCAAGGCTAGCACTCTACCACTTGAGCCACAGCGCCACTTCCAGCTTTTTTCTTTTTGCTTATGTGGTGCTGAGAAATCGGACCCAGGGCCTCAGGCATGCAAGGCAAGCGCTCTACCACTGAGCCAATTTCCCAGCTAAACTGAATATTTTGCCAAAACTGCTTCAGACCTTTGAGTGTGTGCGTGTGTGTGTGCACGCACATGCGCGCGCATGTTGACATGTGCACCATTACTGGATCTTAAACTTAAGGCTTTGTGTTTTTGCTTGTTTTTTTCATGCAAGGTTGGTGCTCTCCCACTTGAGCCATGCCTCCACTTCCTGCTTTTTTTGGGGGGGAGGTGGTTAATTGGAGTTAAGAGTCTCATGGATAAGTCAGGCGCAGGTGGCTCATGCCTGTAATCCTAGCTAGTGAGGAGCCTGAGATCTGAGGATCATGGTTCAAAGCCAGCCCAGGGAAGAAAAGTCCCCATGAGTCTCATCTCCAATTAGCCACTCAAAAACAAGTGGTACTGGGCTGGGAAGGTGGCTCAGTGGTAGAGCGCATGCCTTGCATGCCAGAGGCCCTGGGTTCAATTCCTTAGCACCACATAAGCAAAAAGAAAAAAAGCCGGAAGTGGCGCTGTGGCTCAAGTGGTAGAGCACTAGCCTTGAGCTGAAGAGCTGAGGGACAGCGCCCAGGCCCAGAGTTCAGGCCCCACGACCGGACCCCCAAAAAAAAAACAAAAAAAACAAGTGGCACTGTGGCTCTAAGTGATAGAGAGCTAGACTTGAGCAAAAGAGCTCTGAGATAGCACCCGGGCCCTGGGTTCAAACCCCATGACTAACAAAAAAAAAAGAGAGAGAGCTTTATGAAGACTTATGGATTTTTCTACCCAGGCTGGATTTAAATCCTAATTCTCAGCTTCCTGACTAGCTAGGATTATAGGCCAGGAGCACCATTGCCCAACTAGGGAATACATTTACCCATGCTGGCTTTGAATCGTGATTCTCAGATCTCAGAATCCAGAGTAGCTTGGATTACAGGTGAGGACACCAGGCGCCCAGCTAAGTAATATATATATATATATATATATATATATATATATATATATATATAATATATATATATATATCATATATATATCATATTATATGTAAAAAATATATGTATATATATAGAGAGAGAGTAATGGTGCTTGAACTCTGGCCTGGGTGCTGTTCCTGAGCTCTTCAGCTCAAGGCAAGCACTCTACCACATTGACCCACATAGCCACTTCCAGTTTTCTGGTGGTTAATTGGAGATAAGGGTCTCATGGACTTTCCTGCCTGAGCTGGCTTTGAACTGTGATCATCAGATCTCAGCTTCCTGAGAAGCTAGGATTACAGGCGTGAGCCACCAGCACCCAGCTAAGGAATATATTTGCTAGTCCTAGGGCTTGAACTCAGGGGCTGGACACAATCCCTGAGTTTCTTTTGCTCAAGGCTAGCACTCTACCACTTGAGCCACAGCACCACTTCCGGCTTTTTCTGTGTATGTGGTACTGAGGAATCAAACCCAGGGCTTTATGCATGCTAGGCAAGCACTCTACCACTGAGACACATTCCTAGCCCCTAAGGAATATATTATCCATGTTCCTGGTTGGAATTTGTTTTTTTTTTTTTTTTTGTCGGTCATGGGGCTTGAACTCTGGGCCTGGGCGCTGTCCCTCAGCTCTTCAGCTCAAGGCGAGCGCTCTACCACTTGAGCTACAGCGCCACTTCCGGTTTTCTGGTGGTTTATTGGAGATAGGAGTCTCACGGTCTTTCCTGCCCGGGCTGGCTTTGAACCTCGATCCTCAGATCTCAGCCTCCTGAGTAGCTAGGATTACAGGCGTGAGCCACCAGCGCCCGGCTCCTGGATAGAATTTGTGCAGCCCAATCTACCCTCTAGCTATGGAAGGAGGGCTGAGTTAGAGCTCATTTACCTGCAAGACCTGCCCTCCCCATGTACTATAGGTGGCAGCTGCTACTCCCTGGGGCTGATGTATGGATGGGCAGGCAGGCCTTGCTCTGTCTCCCTCCAGCCATCTTGGGAGCTTGACATCCGATCTTCCTGCCCTTCCTGGGAGGGGACTGAGCTCATGCCTAGTACATACTTAGGCCTTGGATTTCATAGCTAGCAATGGAAACATAATTTTTTTTTAAATCAGTCTGGCAGTGGATTAGGGCAGGACCATTACCATCCCCCCAAAACCCTCAAAGAATTGTTGTTGCTGTCCCTGCTCATGCTAGCCTGGCTAGGGGACTTGGAATGAAGTAGGCAGGAGCACTCTGGGTGACATTTGATAGTCCTCAGGGGATTTGGCTCTAGCCTGGAGATGGAATACAGAAAGAATGTAAGGGACAGCCGGGCGCCGGTGGCTCATGCCTGTAATCCTAGCTACTCAGGAGGCTGAGATCTGAGAATCGTGGTTCAAAGCCAGCCTAGGCAGGAAAGTCCATGAGACTCTTATCTCTCCAATAAAAGCCACCAGAAAATCAGAAGTGGTAATGTGGCTCAAGTAGTAGAGAGTCTGCCTTGAGCTGAAGAACTGAGGGACAGCGCCCAGGCCGAGTTCAAGTCCCATGACTGACAAAAAAAAAAAAAAAGAGTGTAAGGGACAGACCAGCCCATGCCATTCCAGGTCCCATGTTTGTACTACTGAAAAAAGGGTTCAGCAGGGTTGCTTGGTTTTGTTTCATAATTAAAATGTTTTTCATAACTAGAGGTTTGGGATTAGGTTTCCTTCCTAACCCCAAATCCCTAGTCACAAATATCCTCATCTTCCGAGTACTATTACTCTTGTTAATGATATTGCTCCAGGGCTGGGAAGGTGGCTCAGTGGTAGAGCGCTTGCCTTGCATTCCATGAGGCCCTGGGTTCAATTCCTCAGCACCACATAAGCAAAAAGAAAAAAGCTGGAAGTGGCGCTGTGGCTCAAGTGGTAGAGTGCTAGCTTTGAGCTGAAGAGCTGAGGGACAGTGCCCAGGCCCAGAGTTCAGGCCCCACGACCGGACCCCCCCCCCCCCAAAAAAAATGATATTGCTCCCTTAAGCCAGCCAAGCCTGCTATCCTAGGAAATCAGAGGCTAAGATCTGAGGATCACAGTTCAAAGCCAGCCTGGGCAGGAAAGTCTGTGAGTGGGACTGGTTGAGTATCTCTACTCAACCAGCGGCAGCAGTAGGAGGATCTCTGTCTGAAGATGGCCCAGGCCATAAAAAGATGAGAGCCTATCTGAGAAACAAGGGCTGGGAGTGTGGTTCAAGTGCAATTCAATCCCTGAAGCAAAGGGGAAAAAATAAAAGAACAATCAGGAATCATTGGTATTAAAGTCACTTTAAGATTAAGAGGATCTGGGGCTGGGAAGGTGGCTCAGTGGTAGAGTGCTTGCCTTGCATGCATGAGGCCCTGGGTTCCATTCCTCAGCACCACATACACTGAAAAAGCTGGAAGTGGGTGCTATGGCTCAAGTGGTAGCGCTAGCCTTGAGCTGAAGAGGTCAGAACAGTGCTTAGGCCCAGAGTTCAAGCTCCACGACCAGCAAAAAAAAAAAAAAAAAGACTAAGGATCTATCATGGACAATGTTACAAATGAGTTCTATAAATGAACATCTTCCAATATAAATTGTGTAATTGAGTCATTCATTACTTTGGACTTGAAACATGAATAAAAGAGGTTTTCACTGAGTAAATGTTTAAAAGACTGTGAGTGGTTTAATTTATCGTAAACGTTAAGTGCTTAGGCTGGTTTTTGCTTGGGAGAAATTTCTGAGGCGCTTCCGGAAGAAAATTGAAGTTTCAATTTTGTGAAAGCAGAACATTTCAGGGAGTTTAATTAATTAAGCCGCGAAGTGAGACTTAAAGCTGTTGAAACTGGAGTTGGCTGAACATTAATCAAAGAATCCCCTGAAAGTAGCTGCTGAAATTTCCTAGGTTTATTAATAGAATTAATACTTAGAAGCAGAACCTGAAAGAATAGAGTACAATGTTGTCCCAGGTAGTTTTAAAAGAAAAATGATTACTATTATTAGTCAGGGAGCCAAGTGGCTCACACCTGTAATCCCAGCTACTCAGGGGGAGCTTGAGATCTGAGGACCTCTAGGGTTCAAAGCCAGCCAGAACAGGAAACTGTGTGAGATCGTTACCTTCCAATTAACCAGCAAAAACAAAACAAAAAACCCGAAACAAAACAAAAAAACAGAAGCAGAGCTGTGGCTCAAGTGGCAGAGCACCAGCCTTGAACAACTTCAACAACAACAAAAATAACGCAGGGACAGTGCCCAGGCCCTGAGTTCAAATCCCAGTACTAGCAGGGCCCTTTATACAATTCTTTCAAAGCAGACCTAGGGAGGACTCACAGCTGAGCCACTGATTGAAGTTAGTCAATTTGGAGGTGACAAAGAGAGACTTGAGGGAGGGAGGTGTAGGGGGGCGGGGGACCGGCCCAGGGCAAGGGGAGGGACGTTAGGGGAAGGTGGGCCTCACCAGAGGTGGTGGCCAAGCCTGTGCCCCAGGGTGGTGGGAGCCGCAGGAAGAACGCGAAGGATGGGGAAGTGGGCGTGGCGCTTGGAGACCACGCCCACAACACGCCCACCGCCGCCCGCCCGGAGCCTGCCAGGCCTCCACCCTCCCACCGCGTCCCGCAGCCTCCACCCCCCCTAGCGCGGTCCTGAAGCCGCCAAGTCCCCGAGAGAGGCCCGGATACTCGGAGTCCCCCACCAATCCCGGATCTCGGGGCTCCCTGGGGCCCGGGCCGATTCCGGGGAGCCCTGCGATTGCCCCCCTCAGAGTACCATTGGGGGAAAGGATCTGAATCCGCCACCACCTCCGAGCAGGCCTCCAGGTGAGCCTCGAGTCCCCGGGTACCCCAGCACCCCTTCCCAGGTCCTTCCACAACCCAGAGCTCTCTAAAGCCCTTTGGAAAACCTCAAGTGTCATTCAAAGGGCTTTGCTAAAAGCAAAACGTGTTTTCTAAAGCCACCGGCCCCCTTTTCCAGGTCCTGGGGTGTATGTGTGTGTGGGAGGGAACCCCAAAACACACAAATCCAAATGCCCCAAACAACACGTGTTCAACCCGGAGCTGCTTTGTGTATTTCTTCTGGCAGGCAAGTTGCAAAAATCTTCCCTCCCAAGAGGGAAAGAGGGAGGGAGGAAAGGAAGAAGGGCGGGAGTGTGTGTGGAGGGTGGGGTGGGGGGCCTCATCTGGGTTTAACAACTGTGGCCACAACTCTCCATTTAAATTCTGTTTTTCAAAGTCACCATTGTAACATTCAGGAAAATGTTTTAAAATGTTTTCCGGCTTGTTCCTTCCACGTCAGATCTGGAATTTGAAAAACTAAAAATAAACGTGTGTGTGTGTGTGTGTGTGTGTGTGCGCGCGCGCGCGCGCGCGCGCGCGTGTGTGTGCATGTGCATGTGCGTGCTGGTGCTGGCCTTGACCTCAGGGCCTGGGCTCTGTCCCTGAGCTTTTTCTCTCAAGGCTGGCACTCTACAACTTAACCACAGCTCCACTAACAGCTTTTTGGTGGTTAATTGAAGATAAGACTCTCAAGGACTTTCTTGCCTGGGCTGGCTTAGAACCACAATTCCCAGATCTCAGCCTCCTGAGTTGCTAGAATGACAGGTATGAGTCACCAGAACCCACTGGCTTAAGGATATACTTTAAAAATAAAACCCTTGGGGCTGGGAAGATGGCTCAGTGGTAGAGTGCTTGCCTTGCATGCATGAGGCCAGGGGTTCAATTCCTCAGCACTATATAAGCAGAAAAAGCCACAAGTTGTACTGTGGCTCAAGTTGTAGAGTGCTAGCCTTGAGCTGAAGAGCTGAGGGACAGCACCCAGGCTGAGTTCAGGCCCCACGACTGACAAAAATAATTAAATAAAAAATGAATAAAACTCCTAAGTATATAAACAACATATTATTATCCAATCATGTGGTTGTTAAATCAGTAGAGATGAGCCTGCCTTGACCCCCCCATGATTAAAAATAATATAAAACCTCTTAGCTGGGAAGGCAGGGTGGTACATGCCTGTAATCCCAGCTATCCCATTTACTCTGGAGGTAGAGATTGAGGCCACACTGGGCAAAAAGTTAGGGAGACCTCCTTCTCAATCAATGCCCCAGATATAGTGGTGCAAGTCTGTGATCCTAGCTGTGGAGGAGGAGGTGGGAGACCCTTTTGGAAAAGTAACTAAAGCCTAAAGGGTGAGGGGTGTGGCTCAAGTGGTACAGTGCCTGTCTAGTAAACATCAGACCCAGAGTGTGAGCCCATACCACCAGTGTATATTAATAAATACATAAATAAATGGAAAAATACCCACAAGGGGTGTGGACATAGCTCAGTGGTAGAGCTTTTCTGGCATGCACAAAGCTCTGTGTGTGTGTGTGTGTGTGTGTGTGTGTGTGTGTGTCTGTGTGAGAGAGAGAGAGAGAGAGAGAGAGGAGAGAGAAATATATATATTAAATGCATATCTATAAGAAAAAAATGGGAAGGGCAGGGACCATGGTTTTTTGTTTTGTTTTGTTTTGTTTTTGTCGATTGTGAGGCTTGAACTCTGGGCTTGGGCGCTGTTCTTGTGCTCTTCAGCTCAAGGCGAGCACTCTACTGCTTGAGCCACAGCACCACTTCCAGTTTTCTAGCGGTTTATTGGAGATAAGAGTCTCACGAACTTTCCTGCCTGGGCTAGCTTTGAACCTCGATCCTCAGATGTCAGCCTCCTGAGTAGCTAGGATTACAGGTGTGAGCCAGCGGCGCCGGGCGCCCAGCTTGGGGACCATATATATATATATATATATATATTTTTTTTTTTTTTTTTTTTTTTTTTTTTTTTTTTTGGGTCCGTCCTGGGGCCTGAACTCTGGGCCTGGGCTCTGTCCCTAAGCTCTTCAGCTCAAGGCTAGCGCTCTACCACTTGAGACACAGCACCACTTCCGGCTTTTTTCTTTTTGCCTATGTGGTGCTGAGGAATCGAACCCAGGGCCTCAGGCATGCAAGGCAAGCGCTCTACCACTGAGCCACCTTCCCAGCCCCTTAGGGACCATGTTTTAAATGAAAAGAAATTAAGACGATGAGTTGCTTGAGAGCCAGGCACTTAGGCTCACACCTGTAATACTAGCTACTCACGAAGCTGTGATCAAAGGATCACTGTTCAAAGCCAACCCGAGCAGGGAAGTCTGTGAGACTTTTGGTGGTTGTAATTGGTTGTAGAGCTTGAACTCAGGGCCTGTGTGCTGTCCCTGAGCTTCTTTGTGTTCAAGGCTAGCACTCTACCACTTTGAGCTACAACACCACTTCTGGTTTTTGAGTGGTTCATTGAGATAAGAGTCTCTCAAAGACTTCTGCCTGGGCTGGCTCTGAACTGCGATCCTCAGAGTCCAGCCTTCTGAATAGCTAAGATTACAGGCATGAATCACCAGTGAAGGCCTGAAGGAACTCTTTTCATCACCTTAAGAGTATTCCCTGTTATTGGGGTCTTCTTTCTACTCTACCTCTACCGTGGGTAAATTTTCAAAGTAAGAATTTTTTTTTCTTTCTTTCTTTTCTTTTTCTTTTTTGCTAGTTGTAGGGCTTGAACTCAAGGCCTGGGCACTGTCTCTAAGCCTCTTTGTGCTCAAGGCTAGTGCTCTAACACTTGAGCCACAGCGCCACTTCCGGCTTTTACTGTGTATGTGGTACTGAGGAATCGAACTTCATGCGTGCTAGGAAAGCACTCTACCACTCAGCCCCATTTCCAGCCCATGTTTTTGTTTTTTCAAATTATTTATATGGCTTCCATGGGTGCCTTAGGAACAGCTTTTGTTCCTACACTGCTTTATCTGGCCTTCTCCCCTCCCCACATTCTTCTCATACTTCAGGGTTTCCTGGCACCCAAATGGAGGCCCCACATGAGCCAGAGCTGCTGCTAATCATAGCCATGGGCTCCTAAAGACAGTTAAGGTTTGCCATGGGCCCTCACCAAATTTTACCAACACTGTGAATACTGGAGTTGCTACATGTCCATAATCTCTCTCTCCCCTCCCACCTCTCTCTCTTAGTACTAGGCTTTTTTTTTTTTTTTGTCAGTGGTGGAGCTTGAACTCAGGACCTGGTGCTTGCCCCTAACTTTTTCGCTGAAGGCTAGTACTCTACCACTTTGAGGTGCAGCACCACTTCCGGTTTTCTGGTCCTTCATTGGAGATTAGAGTCTCACAGACTTTCTTGCTGGGGCTGGCTTTGAGAAACAATGCTATGGTTACAGGCATAAACTACTGGTGCCCCACTCCTAGGGTTTTTCTGTTTATTTGTGTTAGTCCTGGTGCTTGAACCTAGGAACTGGGCACTGTCCCTTAACTTTTTTTGTTTGTTTGTTTGTTTATGGGGCTTGAACTCTGGGCCTAGGCACTGTCCCTCACTTCTTCAGCTCAAAGCTAGAGCTCTACCATTTGAGCTACAGCACCACTTCCAGTTTTATGGTGGTTTATTGGAGGTAAGAGTTTCATGGACTTTCCTGCCCGGGCTAGCTTTGAACTGCAATCCTCAGATCTCACCCTCCTGAGTAGCTAAGATTACAGGCATGAGCCACCGATGCCCATTTTGTCCCTTAACTTTTTCAAGGTTGGCCTTCTGTCATTTGAGCCACAGTTTCACTTCTGGCCTTTTCCTGGTCAATTGGCAGTAAGAGAGTCTCACGGACTTTCCCACCTGGGCTGGCTTTGAGTTAGTGATCCTCAGATCTCAGCCTCCTGATCAGCTAGCATTACAGATGTAAACCACTGGCACCCGGCTTCTGTGTACAATCCTTGAAAGATTGTCAATGCCAAGCATGACTCTCATTCATTCCTGTTGGAACACAACTGGATTGACCAGGATAAAAACTGTGGGCCATTTCCTGTGACCCAAGAATTCCACTCCTATATGCTCACTCAAGAGAAATGTAGACCTATGTCCACATACACATTTGTACAAGACCGATCATAATTCTTTATTCATAATAGCTCCAAACTGGGAACAAACCGAATACTCATCATGAGAAGTGAATGAACACATTGTAATTTAGCTGTTGGATGGAATACTACTCAGCAAGGAAAAAAAGAAAGGAATGAACTTCTGAAAGATACATCTAACAATGCGGATGAATCACGCAGACATTATGCAGAAGGAAGGAAGTGAGGTTGGGAAAATACATGCTCTAGTTTGTCATTCAGGGCCCAATCAGGAAACTGAAAGCATACAGTCATCTGAAATTAGAATGTTGAAATAAAGTAACTAATTTAAGAGGATTTGAGGAAAGGGACTGGCTGCTACAAAATAATGAGCGCATCAGGTATAATGCTGAGTGTGGTGGCAGCTGCCTGCAGTCTTGGCTACTTGGGAGATCAAGACAGGAGCAAAGAGTTTGGGGCCAATCTAGAAAACATAAACCCCAAAAGAAAAAGCAATTACACCGTTCCTTGTTCTGAGATTGCAAAGGACAGAATCAGGCTGAGATCCTGACTTTGCTAGAGAAGGCTTAGGCAACTGCACCAAAGGACCAAGGAAACCACGTGATGGAATATGCTAGAAGCCTGCTCTCTAAGAGGAGGTCAGGAAAAATGTTGCAGCTGTGATGTGCTGCTGCCGCCTGCTACTTATTGCAGAAGCCAGGTGCTGGAGAAACTTGTCCATGCTACAGAAACCTCAGCCTGAAGCAGTTTGGATTATGGTTGGATCTAGGCTGGGGAAACAACTGCCCAGAAACCCAGTCCCTGCCTCTGGCTCCCTCTACTGTATAAAAATAGTACTGCGACAGCTTGCAGAGGAAAAACACTTAAAGGGCCCTACTCCAATTTCCAGGGCTTTTTTTTTTTTTTTTTTAACAGTGAAGTTATAAAGTGATGACTTGCACAACTCTAATAATTACACTTAGAGCCAAGCATAGTGAATCATACTTGTAATCTCAGCACTGAGGGGGAGACTGAGACAAGAGGATCAGGAGCTCAAAACCAGCCTGAGATGTATAGCAAGAGCTTGGTTAGATTTTGTTATTATTGTTGTTAGTTGTTTTTGCCAGTCCTGGAATTTGAACTCAGGGCCTGGGCACTGTCCCTGAACTTCTGAGCTTCTTTTGCTCAAAGCTAGCACTCTACCACTTGAGCTACAGCTCCACTTCCAGCTTTTGGTTTATGTGGTACTGGGGAATTGAACCCAGGGCTTCATGCTTCATGCATGCAAGGCAAGCACTCTACCACTAAGTCACATTCCCAGCACCCCTACCCCCCCCTCTTTTTTTTTTTTCTCCTTGTTCTGTTCCTGGGGCTTGAACTCAGGGCCTGTGAGCTGTCTCCTAGCTTTTTCACTCAAAGCTGGTATCCAGCCACTAAAGCCACTCCTCCACTTCTGTCTTTTTTGGTGGTTAATTAGAGATAAGAGTCTCACAGAGGGGCTGGGAAGGTGGCTCAGTGGTAGAGTGCTTGCCTTGCATGCATGAGGCCCTGGGTTCCATTCCTCAGCACCACATAAGCAAAAAAAAAAAGCCAGAAGTGGCACTGTGGCTCAAGTGGTAGAGTGCTAGCCTTGAGCTGAAGAGCTGAGGGATAGTGCCCAAGCCCAGAGTTCAGGGACCACAACGGACACCCCTCCCCCCCCCAAAAAAAAGAGTCTCACAGACTTTCCTGCCAGGGTTGGCTTCAAACTGTGATCCTCAGATCTCAGCCTCCTGAGTAGCTAGGATTATAGGCATGCCCACTGACACCCAGCTGAGACTGTTTAAGGATATTGAATTTATAGGAGCAGAAAGCAAATCAGTGGTTGCCTTGGGCTGACTAGGAAGCGGAGAAGCTTTTGGAGGAAAGGTAATGTCCATGTCTTGAGAGATTATAACTCATTGTACACATCTCATTGTACTCATTGTACATGTGCACATCTATTTTTTTGTCCGTTGTGGGGCCTGAACTCTGGGTCTGGGCACTGTCCCTCAGCTCTTCAGCAAGGCTAGTGTTCTACCACTTGAGCCACAGCACCACTTCCAGCTTTTTCTGCTTATGTGGTCTGAGGAATGGAACCCAGGGCCTCATGCATACAAGACAAGTACTCTACCACTGAGCCACATTCCCAGTCCACATGTGCACATCTTATTGGTCCAGACAGGCCCAGTGGGACCAGCTCCATGCTTTTCTTACTTGATTGTTCTGCCTCGGAGAATTAAGATGGGATGAGTATCTCAGTATGCTTTGTGGTAGCTAGTCACTAAAGGGTGTATGTTTGTACGTATGTTTATATTTATGTATTTATTGTTCAGGTTCTGGAGCATGAGCTCGGGGCTGTGCACTGTCCCTGAGCTTTTTCTCTCAAGGCTGGCATTACCACTTGAGCCACAGCTCCATTTCCAGCTTTTTTGGTGGGTAATTGGAGATACATATAAGACTCTCATGGACTTTTCTTCCATTCTCACATCCAGCCTCCTAAGTAGGATAATAGCCGTGAGGCCAGTAAAAGTATCTTTTAAGTTGCTTCTTACCAATCTTCAGATGTTCATGGTCAGTAAAGTGCTCAGATAGAAACTGATTGGCTTGCTGGGGACAGAGAGACATTGGAGAGGAGGCTTTTGCCAGTAGAAGGGGAGAAGCAGAAGATCGATCGCTCTCTCCCCTCTCTCTCAACCACTGCTCACGGCCAGATGATGGGAGTCAGGTCCGTGTCTCTAGCGACCACAGCACCCCGTCCGGTGGCCCGAGAACCTGCTGGAAGGCCAAGTGACCATGGGCAGCCCGCGCTGACCCGCCCACCCTTCTCCATTCTGCAGGACCCCGGCGGCCGGGACGATGGGCGCCGGGCCCTCGCTGCGGCGGCAGCAGCGGCCGTCCATGGAGCCGCCGGTGGCCCTGGACTCGCTGCCCCCAGAGCTGCTGGTGCAGGTGCTGAGCCACGTGCCGCCTCGCGCCCTGGTGACCCGCTGCCGCCTGGTGTGCCGAGCCTGGCGCGATGTGGTGGACGGCCCCTCCGTGTGGCTGCTGCAGCTTGCTCGAGACCGCAGCGCCGAGGGCCGCGCGTTCTACGCCCTGGCCCAGCGCTGCCCGTCCCACGGCGAGGACCTGGAGGAGTTCCCGCTCGGCGCCCTGGCGCGCTTCTGCCTGCGCGCGCCGCTGGGCCGCAACCTCATCTTCAATTCCTGCGGCGAGGGTGGAGCCTGGGGAGGGGGGGCGGGGCTGGGGAGGGCGATGAGGGGCGGTGGATGGGCGTGGTCAACTCTTGGAGCGATGTGACCAATAGGAGGAGTCGGGGGCTCAGCCTAGTGGAGTGGGCGTGTCCATCCCTGTAGAGATAAGCAATGGGAAGGGCCAGGGGTGCAAGCTGTATGTGTGAGCGTAGCGGACTCCTAGAAAGATGGGAGATCAGGTTGAATGAGTAGGCGTGGCCAGCCCTAGAGAGAGAACCAGTGGGAGGAGCCAATGGGTGAGCAAGCAGAGTGGGCGGGGCACTGCAGGGGGTGGAGCCTGGGGCCGGATGGAACTACTGGGTCCAGGATCTGGTCTCGGTTATCAGGTACACAGGATGCTAGGAAGCCTGGAGGAGGATTGGGGAGAAGCCTGTGGGTGAGGCAGATGGGGAGCGCTGTTGAGGGAGTTTGGCAGGCGGCGTTTGTCTTATCTTCAAGCTTCTTGTGTTTTCAGAGGGCTTCAGAGGCTGGGAGGTGGAGCACGGTGGGAATGGCTGGGCCGTGGAAAAGAACCTGACACTCGTACCAGGGGCTCCTTCTCAGACCTGCTTTGTGACTTCCTTCGAGTGAGTGTCCTATCCTCATGCCTGGGGTAAGGGTCCTACTTTTGGGTTCAAATATTTGCTTTTACCTCCCTTCCTTTCACCTTCCTCCGTTATTCAGCAAATACTTGTCGAGGGTCTGTCAGACATCTGGATCTTGGCACCGTTGTATGCCAGAGGTACAAGGGAAGATTGACAGCTTATTTCTGTGGTTTTTTTCCTTTCCTCTCTGGTACTGTCAATTGAACTCAGAGTGCTGAACTACTTGACTCATGCTTCTGGCCCCTGGCAATTTTTTGTTTAATTTTGCTATGCAGAAGCTTTTTAATTTGATGAAGTCCCCAATCCTGTGTCCTTTTATTTTGAGGGATACAGCAATCCCTTGGAACAGACCAAGAAGAAAATTAATACATAGATTTTCCTCTCTTTCCTCCCTCTCATCTCTACCAGAGTTTGCCATTGGCTGACCTATCAGGAAACAGAGGGAAGGGAGACCAGGTCATTTAGGCCATGCCTGTGCTTTGGAAGCTTTCTAAACTCTCTGCTCACTGTGTCCTCCTCTATCTGTATTCACATCTGGGTCCCCACATACATCAGAGGCAGGTAAACATGGAAGTCGGCCTCTAGGAGTGAGAGCAGGGATAGGAAAGGGGATCCAAGAAGCCAAGGGGAGATGCACCGTGTTCTTGTCCTACACAGCAAGTCCTGAGTGGCTCCTTTAGACTGAGTGATCAGGGAAGGCTTCTGGAGGAGGTGATTTTTGGCGGTGAATGAATACCTGGATTAAGCACAGCTCTCTTCCCAGATGGTGTTTCAAGAGGCAGCTTGTAGACCTAGTGATGGAAGGGGTATGGCAGGAGCTGCTGGATAGCGCCCAAATCGAAATCTGCGTGGCTGACTGGTGAGAAGCAACAGCAGTGCGTTGCTGTGGGGGCTCGGCTCCAGCCCCTACCAGCATCTTGGTACTGAACTAATACTGAGCACCTTTTATGGGGGAAGTGCTGGTGAGTGCCCAGCCAGGGAGGGGAGGAACCTTGGTAACCCCAGAGCCCCACCCCACACTCCTCTTCACCCCTTCCCAGCAGGCAAAGTGTCCCCCCTCTCCCATTGTCCACAGGGCTACTCACTGTCTTGATAGTTATTACCTAGGCTCAGCAGAGACTGTGAAGGCTTGAGGATTCCAAGACTTCTAAAAGGTCAAAACCACTATGCCCTGAAAATTGACGCTCCAAGGGGCACAGCTGGTGTGGAGGAGTGGCTTCAGAGCTTAGGATGAGCTTCCAACAAGCTCCCTTCTTCCAGTGCCTGCAGGAGCATCCCCAAAGCATTTTTTTCCTTGAACTGTGGTTACTTCTGCAGATCACCAAGCTTCCCTACCCCACTCCATGAGTATGAGGTCCTGCTCGAGAGGGCCTTATGGACTGTCCCCTGAGTTAGTGGTCAAGAATCTGTGAGGCTCCTCCCCTGGGTGTGCCCCCCCATGCTATAGCCACGCCCCCTGGCAGCCATCCAATGTCTGAGGCCTCTCCGCTGGGTGTGGCTCCACCCAAAGTCACGCCCCTTAATCTAGTCATCCAATGTCTACAAGGCTCCTCCCCTGAGGGCGGCCTCACCCAGAGCACCATAGCCACTCAAGGGTCTAGCAATCCCATGCCTGTCAGGCTCCTCCCTTGGGCGTGGCCCCACCCCATAGCGCCACAGCCACGAGCCCAGACATAGCCATCCAGTGCCCCCAGATTCCTCCCCTGAGAGACAGCTCTGCCCCACAGCAGGAGCTGTCCCCTAATCAAGCTTCCCAGGCTTATCTCCCCACTCTGCCCCACCTCCTAGGACCAAGGTCTGCACCTCAGAGGTACTTAGAACTCACCAAATATAGTTAGGTAGGGCCTTCATTCTCATTCAGAAAAGCCCAACCCTCAGCCTACCTCCTCCCAACCCAGAAAGCTGGCTGGGTGGCAGGGGCACCCAGGCTCACTGCCGCCTGGCAGGTGGGGTGCCCGAGAGAACTGCGGCTGCATCTACCGACTTCGCGTCCGCCTCCTGGACATGTATGAAAACGAAGTGGTCAAGTTCTCGGCCTCACCCAACCCCGTCCTCCAGTGGACTGAGAGGAGCTGCAGACAGGTGGGTCTGGAGAGCCTTGCTTGCTTATCCCTGGCCCGCTTGCTCATCCCTGACCCGCTCCTCAGGCCCCCTCCCATCCTGTCACCTTTCCTCCGGGCCCAGAGCCTGGCTCTCATCAGTGCTGGATATCTGTAGTAATAGCTCTGCTGATTATCCAGTCTTTAATTGCATGACAGATTCATTGTTTTACTAAAACAACCCAGGTGTTTAACATTTATTAACTGCTGTGTATGCAGAACACTGCTAAAAGTGTTGGAATGCATTGGTAAACTAAAGCCTATCTCCATTCTTAAGTTGAAGAAACAGAGGGCAGCAAATGACTAAGGTCACACTTAGGTGCACAGGGCTCCATCCAAGTCCAGGCTGGCTCCCAAGCTTGTTGTTGTCATGACTACTTGAGATAAACTTTTCCATGGCTTCTTGTTTCCACTCTTGCTCTCCTTCGCTCACTACCCCCAAAACACAGATACAGCATCCAAAAGATCCCATTTAAAAAACAAAAAGGCCACAGTATCATGTGGGGCTGGGCATGATGGCTCCTGTCTATAATTCCAGCTACTTGAGTGTGGAGGAAGGAAGATCATAGTCTGAAGCTGTTCTAGGCAAAAGTAAAATCCTTGCCAGGCACTGGTGGCTCATGCCTGTAATCCTAGCTACTCAGGAGGCTGAGATCTGATGATCACAGTTCAAAGCCAACCCAGGCAAGAAAGTCCTTGAGACTTTTATCTCCAATAAACCACCAGAAAATCAGAAGTGGCGCTGTGGCTCAAATGGTAGAGCACTAGCCTTGAGCTGAAGAGCTCAGGGACAGTGCCCAGGCCCAGAGTTTAAGCCCCACAACTGCCAAAAAAAAAAAAAAAAATGTAAATAAGCAAGGGCTGGGGGAGGGAGGGTCATGGTTCAAGTGATAAAGAATCTGCCTAGGAAGTGCAAGGCCTTGAGTTCAAATACTTGCACTGCCCAAATAACAAAACCTTACAACTTTCTCATCACCACCTGTTATGCAACCACAGGGGAAATAAAGGGGCTTTTGCTGCTGATCTCTGTTACAATGAAGAGAATTTCACAGGTTCTCCCTCTCCCACAGGTCTCTCACGTCTTTACCAACTTTGGCAAGGGCATCCGCTACGTGTCTTTCGAGCAGTACGGCAGAGACACACGCTCCTGGGTGGGGCATTATGGAACCCTAGTGACCCATTCCAGTGTCAGGGTCAGGATCCGTTTGTCTTAGCCTTTTGGGACCCACTGTCCCACCCTGATGGGCCATCTTCAGAATCAAGCATGGCTTTACAGCCCAGAACATGACATTCTACAGGGAAAATGGGGTACGCCCAGAACATGACATTCTACAGGGAAAATGGGGGTCCCATGTACCCCATTTGCTGCTGCTTCAGCATGGTGACCTTCGTGTTGTGTGACAAACAAGGACCAACCAGCAATGGGTAGCTTCCTCCTCTTCCCAGAGGAAGGAAAGTCATATGACTGGGACATTTCTTTGATTCCTGGGCCTGGAAGTTGTTTCCTAGGGGTCAGTGGGGGTAAGTTGAGGCAAGAAATCAAGGCTAGCTGGGCCTGGTGATGCATGCCTGGAGGCCCAGCACTTGAGGCTAGGTAGGAGGATCTGGGAGCTTTGAGGCCAAGTTGGATTACATAGTGCAAAGTCTTTGGGATTTAGCTGTGGGGTCTAGTACCTGGCCACCTCTGGGCAATGTCTGCATTCACTGCCCCAGTACCTCCTCCTTGGCCAGATTGGTACTGTGTCTCAGAGACCAGATTCTCCCTCACCTCCTGCCAGGAAATAATACCATCTCTTTTTTGCCCTGTATCCCATCCTCCCAGAGCAAGGTGTGCTGTTAGGGGAAGCTCCCCTCCCCTCCTTTCTGCCCAGCTGGGCATGGCCAAGCAACTAGCTTAATAAAATTGGTGCTAAATATGAAGCAACGGCCAGCTTTTATCTGTAATTAGTGTGCTTTGCCTCCAGCCCAGGTGATTGTCCTCCAAGACCAGATAGTTCTCAAGTTTACAATCAGGAAGTCAGGCTTCATGCTGATCTGGGAGAGATGGAGGCAAGCTCCCCAAACACAATGATGGCTATGATACACAAAGGGACTGCAAGGCCAGTCCTTAGGGGTCTTCCTGTACCATGTCATCCAGACTCCCCTCCTCCCCCAGGTCACCAGCCAGTAAGCAGAGGACCACAGTGGGCAGCAGAACTCAGTGCCAGATGCACAACTCCTACAGTTTCTTACAATGTGGTCAAGTCCAGGATTACAAGAGGCCAGGATTACTATGGAAGCTATTTTCCTGGGGAGAAACCAGCTCACAAGGGGAAGCATACAGCCCAATTATAAGGCAATCAGGGGAGCAGAGCTGAGACTTGAACCTAGTTGTGTGTGATAATAGCCATGAACAGGGCCAGCCATGATGGTATATACCCATAATCTCTGCACTCCAGAGGCTGAGACAGGAAGATATGAAGTTCAAGATCACCTTGGGTTACAACTAAAAACCCTGCCTCACCAGACACTGGGTGCCTGTGGCTCAGGTCTGTAAGCCTCACTATTCAAGAGGCTTGAGATCTGAGGATCATGGTTCCAAGTCAGCCCCAGGCAAGAAAGTGTGAGACTTTTACCTCCAATTAACCACTAAAAAGACAGAGGTAGAGCTGTGGCTTAAGTGGCAGAGCCTTGGGAGGAAAAGTTCAGAGATAGCACCCCCAGGCTCTAAGTTCAAGCCCCAGGACCAATACACACCAAACAAAAAACATACATGCAAAGCCCTCAGGCATAAATCAGACACCCCCCCCCCCATCCTTTCAATAACCCCCTCTAGGTTAGTTACAATTTTCCAGATGGCCATGGCTTTGGGGTGGGGCTTTATTTGGCCCCGCCCTTCACCTGTGGGATGGGTCCAGGCCACAAGGCAGGGAAATACTTTTCACCAAACCCTACAGCCACTGCCAGTGGAACTTTTTTGGAAGAAACAGCAGAGGTCACAAGAATACTGCACAGGGAATTGACAGTTCTGGTGACATGTTTATTAGACCCTGGGCTCAGATGCTGGCAGAACAGTGGCCTGTCGCAGAAAAAGAAATTGTCCATGCCCTCAACACAGAAGCTGTGGCTGTTGGAAGTGGGGGCTTCTTTTCCAATTCACCCCCAGAGTCTCAGCAGGCTAATGCCAGTCCTGATAATGAATCACCAATGGAGTATGAACCCATGAGTAAGATTGGTCACGCAAACCAACACGTTGCCCGCATTACTTCTTCTTCTGCACATGGCCACAGTCGTACTTGCCCCGCACCACTTTGAGCTTGACTCCCGGCAGGTCCTGGGTGCGGCCACCTTCCACCAGGACCACCTGGTGTTCCTGCAGGGTGTGGCCCTCCCCGGGGATGAAGCAGACAGCCTCTTGGCCAGTGCTGAGTCGGACTCGACAGCACTTGCGGTTGGCTGAATTGGGTTTCTTGGGCTTGCGGATGAAAGTGCGCAAAACCACACCTTTCACCTGTGGCCGTCCCTCTGTGGGGCCAAGTCGCTGAGGTGGCCTCTTAGGGGGCCCCAGACGGTGCATCTGGTTCAGGGTAGCCATGCAGCGTGTGACCCAGAACCGGGGAACCAGGACCAGGCCTGGAGAGACACAATGGAAGGGCAGAACAAGGTGATTATTCCAGGCACAAATAAGAGCATTTGCAGTGGCTATGTGACAATGGCTCATGCCAGTCATCAGAAGCCTGGGATCTGAGGATCACTGTTCCAACCCAGCCCAGGCAGGAAAGTCCCTGAAATTCTTTTTTTTTTTTTTTTGGTTCCAGTCGTGGGGCCTGAACTCTGGGCCTGGGCGCTGTCCCTCAGCTCTTCAGCTCAGGGCTAGCGCGCTACCACTTGAGTTACAGCACCACTTCCAGCTTTTTTCTTTTTGCTTATGTGGTGCTGAGGAATCGAACCCAGGGCCTCGAGCATGCAAGGCAAGCGCTCTACCACTGAGCCACCTTCCCAGCCCAGTCCCTGAAATTCTTATCTCTAGTTAGCCAGCAAAAACCTGGAGCTGTGGCTCAAGTGGTAGAGTCCAAGACTTACCACTAGTCTGCACACATGCGCTCCAGCGTTCACGCGTGCACACACAGAAACAGACCCCTCCCCTCTCCAAGGGATTGGGGATCAAACCCAAGATCTCTTCATTGTTAGGCAGACCCTCTAGCCCTTTGAGTCATGCTCCAGCTCTTTTTTTTTTGGGGGGTCCGGTTGTGGGGCCTGAACTCTGGGCCTGGGTGCTGTCCCTCAGCTCTTCAGTTCAAGGCTAAAGCTCTACCACTTGAGCCAAAGCGCCGCTTCCGGCTTTTCTTCTTTTTGTTTATGTGGTGCTGGGGAATCGAAACCAGGGCCTCATGCATGCAAGGCAAGCACTCTACCACTGAGCCACCTTCCCAGACCCTATTTGTATTGTTTTTGAGACAGTGTTAACTTAGCCAAGGTTGGCCTTTTTTTGCCTTCCCCTAATAGCTGTGATTACAGCCATGCACCACTATTGCTCAGTCCAGGAGAAATATCTGATATCTAAGTTAAGTGAAAGAAGTCAAGCTACTCCAGAAGTGCCTGGCACATAGATGGAAAATACCACTCGAATGGGTGACTAAAACACCTTTGCTTGGGGAAATCTCAGCCAGGGAGGTATCTCATACTCAGTGAAGGTACCGAATCGTTTCGGCAGCCCAAACCCACTTACCATGAGTTAGGGACGTGTGGAGACCACGGAGAAGACCAGGCCAGGACATCCCGCTACCTGGGGCGTCTCTGTTAGGGGACAACAAACTCAGAAAGGAAGAGAGGTCAAATCCTCCCCGTCCCACTCTCAGATTTCTGGTGAAAGCTAAGGAACTTTCTTGTAGGAGTCTAATTGCAAGCCTCAATCGATGCTCTGGGGTACACAGGTCCCGACTGTCCCTGCCCCCAGGAAGGAAGTAAAAGAAACGCGGGAGCCGGAGGGAAGCCCCACCGACCTCTACCACCCCAGCAGGATCTACAGACACGCTGATTCCTGTGTCAGGTCCCTTCCGGGAGTTCTCTGGATACGGATTGGCTATTTCTTTATCTGCGTCACTGATGAGGCGGGACGCAGTCAACCATTGGGCAGCAAAAGAGTCTATTTCGGACAACTTGTCTCTTTTCCGTGATCGGATTGGTTCATCCCTCCAAAAAACCCAGGCTGCTTTGCAATTGGTCTAAAGGAAGCGTGGGCGGGATAAAAGTGTGTGACTGAATTCCCGATGCAAGATGGCTGCGTCCATGGCTCGGCGTTTATGGCTTCTCTTAGTTCGTCGAGAGTTCCGGCCCGGGGGAAGTTGCATGTGCATTCCGAATCCAAAGAGAAGTTTTGCTACGGAGAAACGGCAACGGAACCTCTTGTACGAGCACGCGCGCGAGGGGTACAGCGCTCTGCCTCACCTGGACATGGAGCCTCTGTGCGCATGCCCAGAAGAGGCGGCGCGCTTACTGGAGCTCCGCAAGGGGGAGCTGCGACCGGCCGACCTACCCGCGATCGTGAGTGCGCATGCGCCAGGCGGAGACGCTGAAGTTGATCCAACGGAGTTTGCCCCTCGCACACTGGCTTGGGGCCAGGGGTCCAGGGAGAGAAAAGTATTCGGAAGAGTTTTAGTGTTTTTCCCCAAGTTTTCCTAGTTTTCTTAAGTGCATGGCACCCGTTTATGTGCCAGTGGTCCGTTAAAGGCCTCCTAGGTGTCTTGTGTATCATTTTTCATTCTTTCCTTTTTCTTTTCTTTTTTGCCAGTCCTGGGACTTGAACTCAGGGCCTGGGCACTGTCCCTGAGCCTCTCTGTGCTCAAGGCTAGCACTCTACCACTTGAGCCACAGCGCCACTTCAAGGTTTTTCTGTGTATGTGGTGCTGAGGAATCGAACCCAGGGCTTCATGCATGCCAGGCCAGCACTCTTCCACGAAGCCGCATTCCCAGCCCTGTGTTGTGTATCTTAAACACCCATTTTTGCATCTTTCATAATGTATGCTGGGTGCTCTGGGAACTTATCAGGTACCAGGAGCCCTCCAAGCTCCAGACACACCCGAAGACCACAAATCTCAAAGATTTGCCAGGCTCATCCTAAGACGGCAAAGAAAATTGGGGAGCAAGGCCGGGCACCGTTGGTCCACCCCTGTAATTCTAGCTGTTCAGGAGACTTAAGATTTGAGGATTGGGGGCTGGAAAGTCCAGGGACCCATCCAGGGGCCAGCAGGAGCAACTCCACCTGTTCTTACTTTTCCCTCCTTTGTACATATAGATTTCCACATGGCAAGAGCTGCAGCAGCTGCAGAAGCAGATCCGGAGACTGGAGGCAGAGAAGGAGGCTGTGGCTGAGGCTGTGCGGAGCCTGCTGGTGAGCTCAGTGCTAAAGGCTAGGTGTGGTAGTGTTTGCCTGTCATCCCCAGTGACACGGGGAGACCTAAGAAGGAGGATCATAAATTTAAAAAAAAGTGAGAAGAAGCTGGCCACCGGTGGCTCATGCCTGTAATCCTAGCTACTCAGGAAGCTGAGATCTGAGGATCACTTTTTGGAGCCAGCCCTGGCAGGAAAATCTGTGAGACTCTTACCTCCAATAAACCACTAGAAAACCACAAGTGGCGCTGTAGCTCAATGTGGTAGAGCGCTCACCTTGAGCAAAAAAAGCTCAGGGACAACACCCTGGCCCCCAGTTCAAGCCCCAAGACTGACAAAGAAAAAAAAGAAATGATATGATGCAAGAGCCCCTCTCTCAGCATGGAGGTAGCACTGAACACACACTGTGAATGTTACTCTTTTTAGGTTACCTGGCCTCCTAGCTTGCCCAGCAGAGAAACTGAGGCACGATGTGGTAGATGGAAGGCTGACTACCACATTCATAGTACTAGGAGATTCAGATCTCCTGACCCCATTTGCCCTTTGCCCTTCCCTTTGCTCCTCCCCATCCTCAGTTTATCATCCTGACTCTCTCCTCCTTTTTCTTTCCAACCAGGTAAACAACAACAGCAGCCAAGTGCAGAAGGTACTCAGAGAGTTGGTATCTTGTCCCCAGCTGACGAGGGCAGGGAGAATTGGTCATGATTCTTTCCACCCTAAATGACTCAAAGTACAACTCAAATTTAAGGGGAAAGAAAAACCAGGCTTTCTTAGTTCATGAAACCAAAACTGGCTTTAGGTACAGTTGGATCCAGGTCCTGGCCCAATGCTTGGATCCAGTTCCCTGTCATGTTTAGCCCCCAGCTTTCTCCCCTTGTGGAAAGGGAAGGCAGGGTCACACTTTCCTGATAGCTTTTGATAGCCAGAGTCCTGGGGTAAATCCTTGAGTGGTCAGCTGTGCCCAGGGGCTCGGGGGTGGGGGTAGGGGTTTTCATAGAGGGGAAGATCCATGGATTGCCCCAGCTGGCCAAGCTTGAACCTGCCCCAGGTGGACTGGAGGTCCCTAGAAAGGAAATCCTAGGGTTCTGGACCAAAGGAGGAGCCTGTGGGTGGCTTTCCATTAGGAGGTCAGGCTGGCTGAGGGACTCATGACGCTGCTCTGGGCTGACTCCTACATCCTGCTCCAGGACCCCCAGTACTTAGGTCTGAGGACACAGGGCCGGGAAATCCGGATGCAGCTCTCACTCCTCTACCCCAGAGAGACCCAGCTGGAAGAGCAGTTCTACCTGCAGGCCTTGAAGCTGCCCAACCAGACTCACCCAGATGTGGTGAGAGCACTGGGCGGCCAGGGAGGAAGGGGAAAGGAGAGGGGACTGTCCGCCACCACCTCTCTGTGATGCCCCTGTCTTGCCTGCAGCCCGTCGGGGATGAGAGCCATGCCCGAGTGCTCCGTGTGGTCGGAGACAAACCAGGTGGGCCACACCAGCAGACAGCGGGGGCACAGCTGGAGCTGCCTCACCAGATTTGGATTGTCTCGTGCCTGTGTGCATATGTGCCAGTACTTGGGCTTGAACTCAGGGCCTGGGCACTATCCCTGAGCTTTTTGCTGTACCACTTGAGCCATAGCTCCACTTCCAGCCTTTTGCTTGTTCATTGGAAATAAGAGTGCAACTGACTTCCTTCCCCGTCTGGCTTCAAACTGTGATCCTCAGATCTCAACCTCCTGAGTAGTTAGGCTCCAGTTGTGAGCCACCGGCCCCTGGCTCTGATAACTTCTTTATTTTTTTCCCTCATTCCCATCTCTGCCTCCATCCTCTTCCCCCCTCTTTCTCTGTCTCTTTCTTCCTTTCCCTCCTTATCTTTTCCCTTCCTTTCTCTTCCTGCTGTTTCTTTATGGCTGTCTCCTCCCCACGGTGTCTAATCCTCTTCCTGGCTCTTTCTTTGTGTCTCTCTTCCCCTCTTACCCCCTTTGTTCTTTACCTACCCCCAGCTTTCTCCTTCCGACCCCGGGGCCACCTGGAAATTGGCGAGAAACTTAACATCATCCGCCAAAGGTGAGTCTGCCTCTTGTTCTCCCTCCCACCCTCCTACACGCCATCCCCGCCCTAGCAGCTGGCAGCCAGAGGCACCCCCAGCCGGCATGAATGTTTGATGCCAGCCCCACCCCTGCCTGGCAGCTGGGCCTCTCTCCCCCTCCCCTCCCCCTCCGTGCAGGAGTCCTCCTGTCATCCATCACCCATAAGCACCGTTTGTGCCCTGTGTGCTTCCAGGCGCCTGTCCCACGTGTCGGGCCATCGCTCCTACTACCTGCGAGGCGCTGGGGCCCTCCTGCAGCATGGGCTGGTCAGCTTCACTCTCAGCAAGCTCGTGCGCCGGGTATGGGGCAGGAGAGGAGGGCTGCCTGGAAGGGGGAGGCATTGCCACCAAGCTCAGAGGGCTCCAGGAAGGGACAGGAGGGCAACTCCCACTTTCATCACACTTTCCTACCCGAGTCTTCCTCTACTGAGGACATGTTTAATTCAAAGGTGCCAGCTTTATGAAATGGGTTATTACTCTGCCCACTTTCCAGATGGGGAACCTGAGGCCCGGAAAAGAGACTTTAAGTGGACCTACCTCAGAGCCTACACTTGTAACCCTGCCCCTCTGAGCCTGCCACAGGAGACAGGACTGGGACACATGTGGTGCCCATTGGAACAGGGAGTCAGCTGGCTAGGCATGGGTGCTGGCCAGTAGACGGACATTGCCAGAGGACACTAGGGAGCCATGGGAGGCCTCAAGCAAGGGAGCAACACGTCCTGACACCCTGTGTGGGATGGGGTGAACGAAGGAACTGGAGCTAGGAGAGTCAGTAACACACAGCAGCGAAGACCCCAGGACCTGGACCATGGCTCAGGCTTTGCCCACTCTCCTTTGGGATGAAAGTTGGGGGGTCCTGCCCTGCCCCCCCTCACCCACCCCCCAACCCCCACAGGGCTTCATTCCCATGACGGTGCCAGACCTCCTGCGGGGAGCCGTGTTTGTGAGTGAGGCTTTGGGTGGCAAGTTCTGTTTTGGGGTTCCCCTGCCAGGAGAGGGACCAGTTTGTTCCCCTAAGGAGATATCTTGGGGCCAAGTGGAGGGCCCCAAGCTGTAAGTGGCAGGGCTGGGAGGGTGGGAAATTCCAGATACTTGTAAGGGAGAACTAGGGTTGCCCGTACAAAATGGGACCCGCCGAGTTTACCTATCTCCCCCCGCCCTGGCGCCCCCCCCCCCCCCCGCGGCCAACCTCTGTGGTTCCCCCCAGGAAGGCTGCGGGATGACCCCCAATGCCAACCCCTCTCAAATCTACAACATCGACCCCGCGCGCTTCCCAGACCTCAACCTGGCCGGGACGGCAGAGGTGGGTCTGGCAGGTGAGCACCCGGAGTAAGGAGCAGGTGGCATTGTGGAGGGAGACAGGTGGAAGAGAGGGGGCGGCTTCCTGCCTGGGACACAGCACAACCACTCCGGGGCCTGCCAGCACCAGTGTGTGGGTTGTTAACTGCACAAGTCACGTGACATGTCTGGCGCCCGGTCACGTCTAGCAGGGACCAAAGCTTTTGGTAAAGTGAGGCAGCCCTGGCTGACCCTCATCCCCTCCCTTCCTCCTCCCAGGCTACTTCATGGACCACGCCGTGGCCTTCAGGGACCTGCCAATCAGGTGATACCCAGTGTCTTAAGGCCTGGTCCCATCCTGTGCCCTCTCTGTCCTCTCTAACCGACCTCACCTGGTCCCCTGCAGGATGGCATGCTCCAGTACCTGCTACCGGGCCGAGACAGACACAGGGAAGGAGCCCTGGGGGCTGTACCGGGTCCACCATTTCACCAAAGTGAGTGAAACCCAACCAGAAGGGGGCAAGTCGGGGGTCACCTCACCATCCGGGACTTCCTGATTGTGTGTCTTTACCCTTGGCCCAGGTGGAGATGTTTGGGGTGACAGGCCCCGGGCTGGAGCAGAGCTCGCAGCTGCTTGATGAGTTCCTGGCCCTGCAGGTGGAACTGCTGACTGAGCTGGGCCTGCACTTCCGGTGCGGAGAAGCAGGGAATGGCACAGTGGGCGGCCTGTGCACCCCAGCGAGTGCCTCTTCTCCCCTCCCACCAGTGCCTTCTCCTCTGCCTCCTCTCCCCTGTGCCGCCTTCCCCTGGCCCCAGTCCCACCTCTACCACTTTTGCATTGGCTGGGAGGGGCAGTGGGGAGAGTAGTATTGGGATTTGAACTCAGAGCCTTGTGCTACCCCTTGAGTCACAGCCCCAAGACTTTTGGCTGTAGTGGGGTTTTTTTTGTTTTGTTTACAGATAGAATTCCATGCATTTGTGGGGCACAGGCTCATGCCTGTCATCCTAGCTACTCAGGAGGCTGAGATCTGAGGATCATGGTTCAAAGCCAGCCCAGGCAGGAAAGTCCATGAGACTCGGAAGTGGCGCTGTGGCTCAAGTGGTAGAGTGCTAGCTTGAACAAGCTCAGGGACAGCACCCAGGCCCTGAGTTCAAACCCCATTACTGGGGGAGGAAAGGGGGGAAATCTCACACTCTTGCCCTGGCTGGCTACAGACTGATCCTACTTCCTCCACCTCCCACTTAGCCAGGTTTATAGACAGGAGCTACCACACAGGGCCTGCTATCCTATTGTTAATAATTCCCTCCCTTTTACTAATACTTCCCTCTTGTTTTGGCCTCCTCTCTTCCATCACATCCTCTTCCTTCTCCACTGCCTAACATTGGCCACGCCCTGTCCCTGACATAGGGTCTTGGACATGCCCACCCAGGAACTGGGCCTTCCTGCCTACCGGAAGTTTGATATTGAGGCTTGGATGCCAGGCCGAGACTGCTTTGGAGAGGTGAGCTCCACCCCCCCCCCGGGGCGGGGGGAGGGGAGGGAGACACCCCATACCCTCCCCCCCCATGGCTGAGCCTCTCCACTGCCCCCCACCCCATCCCTCCAGGTCACCAGCGCCTCCAACTGCACGGATTTCCAAAGTCGCCGGCTGCATATCATGTTCCAGACCGAGGCTGGAGAGCTACAGTTCGCCCACACGGTGAGGCTCAGGCCCTCTCTGCCCCTTCCTCCCCACCCCCACCCCCCCACCCTGCCCTCCCAAGACCACCACAAGGTCCTGTGCATCCTGAGTGTGCCCCACTTCCAGGTGAATGCCACGGCCTGTGCTGTTCCCCGACTCCTTATTGCCCTCCTAGAGAACAACCAGCAAAAGGTGTGGACTTGGTGGGGGCAGGCGGGGGGGGGGGGGGGGAGGGAGGGTGGGAGGTGGGGAGGGAGGGGGATCAGACAGTGGAGGGGAGAGGGGCTGGGGCCAAGTCAGCATGGTCATGAGGCCTGTTCTGTCCCCAGGACGGGTCGGTCCTCGTGCCCCCTGCCCTCCAGCCCTATGTGGGCAGCGATCGGATTACAGCCCCCACGCACGCACCACTCCTGTACATCGGCCCCAATCAGCCCCAGAAGCCCCGGCTCCCCGGCCAGCCGGCGTCCAGCTGAGGACTGGCTGAGCCCAGCCAGTGGGGCTTGTCACCAATTCCTGGGACTCCAGAGGCCAGGATACCTGGGGACCTGCATCCCTGAGCCCATTCCAACCTCAGCATCTTGAGTGCCTGGACTTCAAGATCTTCCTTCCTCCTCTTCTTCCTCAGCCCTCAGAACCAGACAGCAGCGCTGAGCACTGCAGCCCAGCCTGCACAAGGAGGCAGGATATCCAGGGGTGGGAAGTTGAAGGTCCCCTAATAAATGGTCAAAACAAAGGCCTGTGAATCTATCTGGGAGCACAGGAAGTACACTGCCTGACTGCCTGGAGTCCAAAAATCAGTGACCATGGCCAGGCACTGGTAGCTCATGTCTGTAATCCTAGCTACTTGGGAGGCTATGAGATCTGAGGATTGTGGTTCAAAGCCAGCCCAGGCAGGGAAGTCTGTGAGACTTAGTTCCAAGGAACCACCAGAAAACCAGAAGTAGCGCCACGGGTCAAAGTGGTAAAGTACTAGCCTTGAGCAAAAGGAGCTCAGGGACAGTGCCCAGGCCCTGAATTCAAGCCTCAGGACCAGAAAAAAAAAAAAAAAAGAATATTCCAGAACCTTCCCATCATGCTCTCCTCCCCCGTTCCCTGTACTGGTCCTGTCCACCACTTTTCCCATTGAGATAGTTGCAGGAGCCACCCAGTTGGTCTCCCTGGGAAGACCTGAAACTACCTGGCCAGGCCCTCTGGTGACTACATCTCAAAGTAAAGGACAAAGTCACGACATCTATGTCTGTTCTGTTGGATTCACTATAGTCATTCCCTTGTGTAACATGTGTTTGTTGCCTGCACCCTCTTCCTTATCCAGTGTGTACCCCAAGAGGACTGGTTTTAGCCAGTGCATTCACTGGTGTGGCTGCAGACTCAGAAGTGCGCTTGTCAGTGTTGAATTTTTACTAGAGCTGGTATGGTAGGACATGCCTGTAATCCCAGCTGAGGCAGGAGAATTAAGTCCAAAACCAGCCTGGATTACACAGTGAGAACTTGTCCCAAAACAAGTTATTGTAATGGTGCTCAGCCCTGTGCAGTTGGCAGTGCTGACCACTCCCAGCACCATTCCTGCACGACTGCATCTTCATCAAACCCATTTCGTTAGTGCAGAAAGCATCTTAAGAGACTTTAGAGGCAGACGCCCGTGGCTCATGCCTATAATCCTAACGTCTTAGGATGCTGAGATTTGAGAATCCTGGTTCAATGCCAGTTCCAGGCAGGAAAGTCCATGAAACTCTTTATCTCCCATGAAGCAGCAAAAAGCTGGAAATGGAGTTGTGGCTCAAGTGGTAGAGCACCAGCCTTAAGTGAAAAAGCTAAGGGACAGTGCCCGGTCCTGAGTTCAAGTACTAGCACCAGCACCAAAAAAACAAAGTAGGGAAATGCTCCAGGCTGTGCGGGTAGCAGGACTGGAACGCCTAGCCAGGACTCATTGAGGAGGTCAGTTTGCACAGCCTCTTCAGGTAAGGAAACAGGCCTAAGGAGAGAGCTGTGGGCGGGGCATGGGGAATGGCACCCTGTTAGACTTGAACCCAGGTCCTGTCTGGGAAAGGGCACTTGCTCATTCCTCAGCCCCTGGCAGGAAGCCCCTGAGGGGATGCGTGCAGAGCCCGGTCCTCATGAATAATTAAGCATCTCAGGCCGCCACACAGCTGTCACTGCTCCCCTGTGGGCCACTGTGAGGGTTATAAAGGTGCTGGTAAGTCAGCCCAGCCCAGGATCAGGGGGCCCAGCTCCCCACCATGCCGCACCCCACATCCCACTTTTTGTTGCTGCTGCCACTGTTGCTGCTGGGGACTGGTGAGTGGTGGGGAGAGGCCTAGATGCCAGTATGCAGAGCAGGGGTTCGGGCCTGGAGGGGGTTCACCCAACAGGGGGTGTTCCACGGGGACCCAGGACTCCAGGAACTCTGATCAGTACTGAGGACAGCACCCGTCTGTTTTCTCCACAGCTACCACGGCTCCCCTGGCCAGCAGTCCCTCCAAAAGGGAGGTGAGAGTGAGTGTACCCCCTTATCTGTCTCACCCTATCTCCTCTAGCACCCTCTCCCTATCTCCCCTCAATTCTTTTTTATTTGGCTTGACTCTGGGCCTGGGCACTGTCCCTGAGCTCTTCGGCTCAAGGTTAGTACTCTACTATTGAGCCACAATGCCACTTGGGTTTTCTGGTGGTTTATTGGATATAAAGGGTCTCACTGCCTTTCCTGCCCGGGCTAGCTTTGAACCACAATCCTCAGATCTCAGCCTCCTGAGTAGCTAGGATGACAGGCGTGAGCCACCAGCAGCCGGCTCCCCTCAATTCTTCTCTGACCCTTTATTTCTTGTCCCCAGCTGGCCCGCTGTCTGGCAGAGGTCCTGAGCCTGGGCTGGGTGCACAGGGGGCCATGCACGGCTCTTCTCTACAAAGGTAAGCAGGCTGGCACTCTCCCACAATTCCAGCCCACCCCACCCAGGGCTTTGCCTGCTATGACGCCCCCCCAACCTGCCCTCCTGCCCCATCCACAGCCCTGTGCCCTGGATGGCACTGTCCTGTCTGTTGCCTGACTGCCTGGCCATAGCTTCCATTTTGGTGGCAGAAGGGTGATCCTAGCCCTGTCAGTCCCTCCTTCCTCTCCCAGCTCTGGAGGGCCGCCATGAGACACGACCCCGATCCATCCCTTCCTGGTCTCTTTCCTGCATAGATTATTGTCTCTTTCTGCCAGAGATATGCGAGAAGGAGCCCCATGGCTGTGGGTCCCAAGAGGAGAAAGGGGTGAGTGGGGACTTGAAGGAGGAAGAGGAGGAGACTGGGAAGATCAAGTCGGACCAGGAGGTGAGGGATGAGGAAGAGGAGGCGGCAGAGAGGACACACAAATCTGAAGTCCAGGAAGAGATACTCCATGAACAGCATGGCCGGCTCCATCAGGAGAAAGAAGAGGAGGAAAAGAAGAGACAGCCTGGGGAGACCTTTGAAGAGCTGTGGAAGCAGCGGCTGGAGGGTGCTGGGGGCCCCCAAAAGCGGGTGGCAGAGAAAGCCAGCCATGAGCAGTCTGCCCAGTTCCAGGCAGAGAAGAGCACGAAGATGCAAGGCGGCGACCACAGCTTGTGGCAGCAGGGTCAGAGGGGTGAGGGGGAGAGGCCTGAGGACACCCCCCACCTTCATCACCACCAGGAGGAAGAGGAGGAGGAAGAGGCCTCAGAACAGGAGGTGAGTGGGGTGGGGCCACCTGATGTTCAGTGGGGAACTGAACCCAAAGCTCCCACACAGCAGGATCCGCCATGACTGCATCCGGATAGCCGAGCACCCATGGTGGCTCACGCCTGTCACCCCAGCTACTCAGGAGGCTGAGCTCTGAGGATCATGGTTCAAAGCCAGCCCAGGCAGGAAAGTCCATAAGACTCAATCTCCTATTAGCAAAAAGCCAGAAGCGAAGCTGTGGCTCAAGCCAGGGCCAGCTCATACATACACATACGCACACAGCAGCAGCAGCATCCAAATGAGGACGCTGCCTGGCCATGGGGACTTCCCTCTGGGATTAGGGTCACCATGAATATCAAGTACCCCAGTTGGCCACCATTGCCACTATGTGACAAGGGGGCCGCCATTCTGTTTGGGAGACTAGATAGAGGCACCATGGCTGGGTTGTGGAAACTAAGGTGTCCTCATGGGGGGGTCAGTTGCTAGTGCCATGATCACCGCCATTGGCCACCCATTTCTGATGCCAGGAGCGGGAGGAGGAGCGGCTGGAACGCGTGCGGGACGAACTGAAGAAGGCCACAGCCATGCTAGGGGAAGAGCTGAGGAGGGAGGGCTGACCCCGGCCCCATGCGTCCCCCCCCACTCACGTACCCCTCTGCTTCAGGACTGTTGATACCAGCTCCCCACCCCACCCCCACACACTTTACCCGACACCCACTCACCCTGACCTGCAGGGTAAAGAGGAAGGTATACCTTAGAATTGAGTTGGTGGGGGGGGCTCAGGATCCCCCAATACCTTTCCACCCACCCCCCAGCCTACCCTCTGAGAGAATAAAGAAATAGCAAACCACCATGGCCGGACTATGCCCTTGGCTTTGGGGACCCAGGAGCAAAGAGAGGGCTCTGCTCATCAGAACTGAGGCTTTATTAAATGAGAAATTCTATTAACATGGAAATCAGGCGGGGTCAGGGTCTTCGGGAAAAGGTCTGGATGCTGGGGTAGGAGGTGACGAGTTTGGAGTCTGGCCTCTGTGAACCACAATGTCGTCGTATTCGTCCTGGGGACAGAAGGGGGTGGCACAGGGGCTCAGGTGGCTGCCACCATGCCCATGACCCAAGTTACCCAAGTCACCTCTAACTTCTGGGGTCTTGTCTCAAAGCCCCAGGTCCCTTCCTCCTCCAGCCTGCTCTGGACCTGGGTGCTGTCCCTCAGCTCTTTGCACTCTACCACTTGAGCCACAGCGCCACTTCTGGTTTTCTGGTGGTTAATTGGAGATGAGCATCTGGAATCCTAGCTTCTCAGGAGGCTGAGATCTGAGGATCACCATTCAAAGCCAGCCCAGGCAGGAAAATCCTTAAGACTCTTACTTCCAATGAATCAGCATAAAGCCAGAAGTGGAGCTGTGGTTCAAGTGGTAAAGAGTTAACCTTGAGAAAAAAAAAAAACAAAAAACTCAAGGATAGTGCCCAGGGACAAGAGTTTAAGCCCAGGCCAGCACACATATAAAAAGTCCCAGTTTTGAGGTCATGCCTCCAACTCCCCAGCAAGCAGCATCTCCCCTCTGCCTCTACCCACATTCTTTACCCTCATGACTCAGAACATTCAATGCCACCTGGGGTGCCCAGGGCAGCACCCCACACCTGCGTCCATCCTCACCCTTCCCCGAGGTGTCTGCCAGTGGCTGCCACCCAAGATCCCTGCCCACAGCCCCACCTCTCCAAATCCTGCTGCCAAGACCACTCAGCCCACCGCCAGCCATACAGCCTGTGTTCACTGCCCCCACCACTAAAATCTTTCTACCACCTCCGCCCAGTCTCCTCCTGCACTGCCTTAACTTTTCAACCATGGTTTTGGTGACCAAGGTCTTGCTGCTTCTCGCCACTGCTGCCCAGGTCTCTCCTGACTGCTGCTCACGCCACTGTGTGGCTGTTTGTTGTTGTTGTTGTTTTTATTTGTCAGTTGTGGGCCTGAATTCTGGGCCTGGGCGCTGTCCCTCAGCATTTCAGCTCAAGGAGAGCGCTCTACCACTTGAGCCATGGCACCATTTCCAGCTTCTGCTTATGGGGTGCTGAGGAATTGAACCCAGGGCCTTGTGCTTGCAATGCAAGCACTCTACCGTTGAGCCACCTTCCCAGCCCCGAGTTTTTAACTTTTTTTTTGGCAGCACTGGAGTTTGAACTCAGGACCTCACACTCCATCAAGTGGCTCTCTACCACTTGAGCCACGTTTTCAGCCAGGCTTATTGCTGTTCATCCTTTTTTTTGGTGGGGGGGGGGAGCTTTAACTCAGGGCCTGGGCACTGTCCCTGAGCTTCTGTGTGCTCAAGGCTAGTGCTCTACCACTTGAGCCACAGCACCACTTCTGGTTTTTCAGCAGTTAATTGGAGATAAGAGTCTCATAGGGCCTTGTCTGCTCGGGCTGGCTTCAAACCTCGATCCTCAGATCTCAGCCTCTTGACTAGCTAGGATTACAGGTGAGAGCCACCAGTGGCTGGCCTCAAAGACTTTTCTAACCAGGCTAGTCTCAAATCTGAGTCCTACAGATGTTAGCCTCCTAAGGAGCTAGGATTACAGGTGTGAGCTTCTGACTGACACAGGGTCCCACCTGAGTTCATTAATAGCAGACATGCTAGGTCAGGCTCAAGGGAGTCCCTATCATCTCCTCCCTTTCTGGCTGCTGGTTCAGCCAGACCCCTAGTCAGTCACTGCAGTTTCCCTACTGACTCACGCCTTCATCTTTGCTGTCACTGTCACTGTCGTCACTACTGCTGCTGGATCCAGGCTTGTCATCCTCATCCTCAGGCTCAGGGGCTCCGTGAGCACGGAGCAGGCTGGCGAGGCTGGCATTGGGCCGGAGCAGGGCACTTCCCAATGGGGTGCGGCCCCCATACATTCGGGCAGCGGGGTCGGCCCCTGCCCTCAGGAGAAGTTCCAGTACATCAGCAGCTTGTGCCTCTACTGCTAAGTGTAGGGGGCTCCGGCCGCATGTGGGCTCCTGTGGGGTGCGGCCAAGAGGTCAGCAGGCACGGGAGGGGACACCCCACACACACCTGCCCCCCTCAAGTGGCTCACCGGTTTGTTGAGATCAGCCCCAGCATGCCAGAGCAGTCGGACCATTTCTGCATCTTTGTGGATGATGGCCACATGGAGTGGAGTATGGCCTGGGGACAGAGTGACAGGTGTCAAGAGGGAAGGGTGAGGGACCCAGGCCCCCAGCACCATGATCCCGGGGCCCCTGAGGGTGACCAGGTTTGGGGTCTGGCTCCTGAATTCTGATATGTCAAAATACATCTGGGTCCTGACTGGCTAAGTTGTAGGTAAGGTGTCTGAGGGGGCTGAGTGTTGGGGTGCCTGGAGGGACTATGGATGAAGAGCTGGGGGTCTTTAGATGGCAGCCTTGGATCTGGGGACCAGAGGCTCTGGTCTGACTTCACACAAAGATGGTGACCAGGGTTTCAAGGTTGTCTCTGAACACCGGGTTGCAGGTGATCTCAGTGTATCTGTGGAAGGCCTGGACCTGGGGAAGCTGGGCTTACAGGTGGGTGCTTACAGACTCAGATGCTGGGATCACAGTTAAGACAGCACCTTTTGTTTTGTTTTGGTTGGTTGTGGGACTTGAACTCTAGGCCTGGGCGCTGTGCTTTAGCCTCTTCAGATCAAGACTAGTGTTCTACCACTTGAGCCACAGTGCCACTTCTAGCCTTTTCTGTTTTTGTGGTGCTGAGGAATCGAACCCAGGGCCTCAGACATGCAAGGCAAGCACTCTGCCACTGAGCCATCCTCCCAGCCCCTAAAGCAGGAAGGTTGACTTTTTTTATGCCCCCCCCCCTGGGGCTTGAACTCAGGACTTGGGTGCTAGCCTTGAGCTTTTGTGCTCAAGATTTAGCATTCTACCACTTGAGCCACAGCTCTACTTCTTAAGACAGCACCTTTTATACAAGTCTCAGATGAGGCAGGTCCTCCAGCTGCCCTCCAGGGCTGTGTACCTAGATGCCAGTTTTATGAAGCCTTAGTTTTGAAAGCCCTCAATTTCTCCCCAGCTGAGCCTGTGGCTTAGAGGTGGGCCACACTTTGTAGGTTGGGGAACTAGATCCTGATAGCTGTGGGTCTGGGGGATGGCAGGTCTGGGGTGTACTGGACTCCATATACCTAATTTTCCATACCTGAGGTCTGCCCATGGGGCCAGAACCCATGCCTTTGAACCCAGGCCCTGAACCCATGCCCACCCTGCCTGGTCCGCTCACCCTCATAGTTTTCAGTCTCCAGCTGCAATTTCCAGTCTTCCTCTCTTTGCTCCTCTTCCTTCTCTCTTGAGGGTTCGGGATACTCGGGCTCGGGGGTGGGGCTGGGGTCAGGGGTATGGTCCCGGGGGCGGGGCTGGAGCAGTGCGCATGCGCAGGCGTGTGCCCGCACACGGCAGGCCAGATGCAGTGCCGTGTGGCCCCCACGCTCTGCCACCAGCAAGCTGGCACCCGCTGTGTACAGCTTTTCCACGGTGGACACCTCTCCCAGGATGGCTGCCAGATGCAGGGCGGTCTGCAGGAAAGCAGGGCAGGGCTCAAGGTCACATTGAAAACCTGGGACCCCTGAGCCCTTACACCAACAATTCCTGAGGGCTCACCTGGCCGAGATCATTCTGCAGGTCTAGATACTCAGTACCAGCGGCAAAGCCTAGGAGGAAATCCAGGAAGGGCTCGTGCTGATGGATCACGGCTAAGTGCAATGCCCTAGGGGTAGAGATGGGACAGAAGTCAACACACATGAAGATCCAGTGTGGTGGTGGACACCTGTCATCCCAGCCACGTGGGAGGTGTAAATAGGAGAATCTTGGTCTAGACTCAGCCCGGCAAAAAAAAAAAAAAAAAAAGAACTTTTCTTACTAAAGGAAAAAAGTGGTAGAGCCACCTGTCTAGCAAGCATAAGACTGAGTTCAAATCCCAGTATCACAAACAAATTTCAAATTCAAAGGCAAATTTAGTAGGCATTGTGGCATACGCTTGTAAATCCTGCAGTTGGAGGCTGTGGGAGGACAAGTTGAAGACCAGTCTGGGTACATAGCAAGACTCTGTTTCAAAAACAAAAATGTAACAATGTGAAATATCTGTGGCTCTAATAATTGACCTTCAAATTACAACAAGCAAAACCTGAGAACTACAAGCACAAACACAGAATTATACTTCGTGTGTGTGTGTGTGTGTGTGTGTGAGAGAGAGAGGAGGGGGGGGACTGGGGCTTGAACTCAGTGCCTCTGGCTCCTCTGGCTGGTGCTCTACCACTTGAGCCATAGGTCTACTCCTCTATATAATTTAAAGGAGTTGGGGGCTAAGTAGCTCAGTAGTAGAGTGCTTGCCTAGCAATTGAGTGGCCCTAGGTTCCATTCTAAATACTGAAAAAAAAAGAAAAAAGGAAGAAAGAAAATTGAGGAATTCAAATCATACAAACTGGGCTGGGAAGGTGGCTCAGTGGTAGAGTACTTTCCTTGCATGCATGAGGCCCTGGGTTCGACTTCTCAGCACCACATACTCAGAAGAAGCTGGAAGTGGCGCTGTGGCTCAAGTGGTAGAGTACTAGCCTTGAGCTGAAGAGTTCAGGGACAGTGCCCAGGCCCAGAGTTCAGGCCCCAGGAGAGACCAAAAAAAAAAAAAAACATACAAACTATCTTCTCTTCCCACAATGATATTAGATTAAAAATCAGCAACAGAAAGTTTCCAAACATGTGACAATCAAGTAACAGATTTCTATATAACTTCTTGGTCAAATCTGAGTTTTTTTTTAAAAAAGTATACTACTTAATTAAATGAAAATAAAAACGTATCAGAAGACATATTTTTGCTGAAGCAGTGTTCAGAAGGGAAGTTTAAACACATATCAGAAATGAAGGAAATGCCTACATCAATGACCTTAAGACACAAACCAGGGCAGTGTTTCATGACTGTAATCCCAATTACTCAGGAGGCTGAGATCTGAGGATCCAGATTTGTTTCCTTCCATCCCTCACCACTTAGCACCTAAAATAGGGCCTGGAACCTGGCAGTGCCACACAAGTATTGCAGTAACAAATGAATCTCCACCACTCTCAGGTAATTAAGTTCTCTCTGAATTTAAGATGTCAAGATCAGTGTTGGGTCAAGTACTGAAAATTCTGATTCTGAAAATCAAAGCCTGGAACTTATAAATCAGTCGAACCCAAGATGGTATTTGTATGGTCCAGAGGATGGAGCTGGGGGAGGGGGGGACCGGGCGGGGGGGAGGGGAAGGGGGGAGGGGGAGAGGGAGGTAGGAGGAGCGCGGCGGGAGGGGGCGGGGGCGGCGCGGCGCGGGCGGGCAGAGTTCTTACAAAGATCTGGGGATTGGGATCAGGAGGTTCAAAGAAGTTTTGGAGGATGTGGATTCCAGGATCTAGAAATCCAAGTTCAAGGAAAGAAAGGGCAGAAATCACAGGTTTGGGATGGAGAAGATAGGAGTCTATAGTTTTCCTACCATTTAGAACTTAGATGGGTTAAGGATGGGAAGTTAGATTTAGGAATGAAAAGGTCAGGAGGCCAAAGGGACCAGGATGGGAAAATCAACCGTCGGATCCCAGGAATCCCCTGGATCAGTCTAAGGATCACTCACGTGTCCCCATCCTCAGTGACGTAGCCAAAGACGAGGGGCGCCCACGATAGCCCCGGGCCCAGCTCGGCACCCAGCCCTGGTCCTCCAGGAGCCGCTGCGTCGGGACCCAGAGAACCCAGGCCGCTGTCACACCATTCATCCGCATCCGCAGCTTTTCCCAAGCACGCGACCCCAGCCATGGCCCCCCCACTACCACCTCGGTGGGGGTCCCCACCTGCCCGTCAGTGGCTGGGCTCTGCCTTAACTCCGGAGCTTCCGCCCTGCTGGGAATTCCCGAAGAAAGAGTCACGCCCCCCTAGTTTATCCAATCAGAGCTGTATGCCTTGCTTATTCCCCGCCCCCGTGCTGCACAAGAACCAATCACAGTGTTTGGATGAACTAGCGCAATCTAGTTGTTCCCACATTTTCCGAATGCCCTTTACCAAAATGGCTGTGGCCGCCTGGCCTTCTGGGATTCGTAGTCCCTCTCGTGAGATGCCTTGAGCTAAGCGAAGTCGTGAAGATTACTGGGAGTTGTAGTTCCCTGCTTCCCTCCTCCCCTCTCCTCCCCCACTCCACCCGCCCTCCCATGCCTCTCTGGTTTCCGGTGCCGTCACGGGACCGAGCAGTCGGTGACAGCCCCGAGGGCCCCGTGCCGGGCGCCCATGGCCGAACCGGACCGTGAGTTGGGGGTCTGGGTGGGAGGATCGGGCCGCGCCGGGGCCTAGCTGCGGGGTGCAGGCCCCGGGGTCCGGCGTAGTGGGGGCTGCAGATTCGGTGGGACGCGAGATGGGGGGGTGGGGGCCGCACGGAGTGGGTGGAATTCGGGGCGCTCTCGCTAAAGGGTCCCAATTACTAGGTTGGTGGGTTTCAAAACCAAGGTCCGTTTGCTAAGTGACTAATGTATGATCGTGTATTTCCCGCTCCTTGGTGGCTGAGGTCCCTGGTTACTAAGGACCTAAGTTGGCGTGGTCCCAGTTGCTAAGGATACATGGTGTCCTGAGCATCAGTGGGGTACTACACTCCCCGTCCCTCCCGCCCCCGGCCCGGTGATGTCTCTTCTCTCTAATTCCAATACCTGTCTTAAGCTGTCACCCCCACTGCACCTCCTCTCACACCTCCTCTCAGCCCTAGGAACCGCCCCCCCCCACACACACACACTTCACTCTGCCTTGCAAACCTCACCTTTCCGCCACACACACTACTGAATCCTTCCCAACTCCCAAGTCTTCCTTCAGCTTTGACAACCCGACTTTCTCCTCCCTCTCCTCCTCAATCTCCTCTGCCTCTCCAGCCAGTCCTGTACTCCAACTTTACATTTCCCCCTTCCCCTCCCTCCTACTTAATTTTTACCAACATCCTTCACCCCAGTATAACTAGATTGATGGGTCTTCTTGCCCACTGCCCCACCACTTTGAACCCCTTAACCATTCCCCCCACTATAACCAAGTCTGCTCCCCTCCTCCCCAGCCTCTGACCCTCTGGAGACCCAGGCAGGGAAGGTGCAGGAGGCCCAGGTGAGATGGGGAATGGGTGGAGGGAAGGACAGAGCTGGACTTGCTCCCATATTTCACACTGCATGGAGGGGAGGTGGCAGAGGGGAGAGTTACCCCTAGGGCCCTCAGCTCATTACCCTAATCCTTAACCCCACCTGGTGCAGCCTCCTTGGGCCTGAGGGCTTTGGAAGACTGTCAAAGACAGACTTGATGCTGCCTACCCTAACCCTAATCCCTTTTGAACCTCTTTTGATTGGGACTGGAAGGAGACAGGGATCCAATCTGGTTCCTGAACTAACAGATCTCAGGGGTAGGTGACAAGCAAATAATCTGACAAGATGATTATAAAAGTAGCTTGGAGCTCTATGGGAGCAAGCTTTATGGGTCAGGCCCTTCTTATAGGAGGAACCCTACTGGCTAAGATATAGTTATAGTGTAATCAGTGAATTGACCTGGGGAATGGTTGCAGACAGGGTAAGACATGATGTTGCACATGGAGGGTCCAGCTTATGCAAAGGCCTGGTGACAGAAAAGAATGTAATGTATGTGTTGACTAGCAGGGTGACTGGAGATGGTGTAGGTATAGTTAGCGTTTATTGGCTCTTTACTCCAGCCACAGACTCTGCTAGTGCTGGTACTGGGGACAGGAGTAGTGGTTAAAAATAGAAGAGGCAGGGAAGTCTGAAAATGGAGGTTGGAGACATGGGGAGCATGGGGAAGAGTGTGACATCTCATTAATGCATCCCTGTGAAGGGTCAGGCCTGTTGTCATTTGGTTTTGTTTTGGTTTTTGGTCCATTGTGGGGCTTGAACTTGGCCTGGGCACTGTCCCGCAGCTCTTCAGCTCAAGGCTAGTGCTCTACCACTTGAGCCACAGCACCACTTCTGGTTTTCTGGTGGTTAATTGGAGATAAGAGTCTCATGGACTTTCCTGCCTGGGCTAGCTTGGAACTGTGATCCTCAGATCTCAGCCTCCTGAGTAGCTAGGACCATAGGCATAAGCTCAGGGCTGGAGGCACAGGGTCCTAGAGATACTGCAGGAAGAGATAGACAGACTCTCACAGCTCTCCCTGAAGCTGGCTCTATGCCATGGGCTGGACAGATTCCCTACAAGTCACTTACAGTGCCTTACTGTCTGCAACCCCGAGAATACCAGCCTGCCCATCCCTCTTCAAGTGGAGGCAGTGTGGAAGCTGGGGTAGCAATACCCCCCACAATGCACAGCAAAGCCATGCTAAGGATGTCACAGCCTCTTGTCACTGTCTGCCTCCTAAAGCATCCCTGCTAGCAGAGAAGGTTTCCTGGGTTTAAAAAAGAGAGAGAGACCCTCAGTCCCTAAGAGAAGCAGCTGATAAACTGTAGCATTGTCTGTAATAGAGGGACACTGGAAACAGCCCAAATGGCTGTCAGCAGATAGGTTAAATGAACTGTGTGCTTGTACAATGCCATACTATGTAGTTGCTTCAGAGAAGGAGGCAGAGATAGGCAGTTCGAGGCCAACCCAGGCAAAATGGTTATCTGTGATCCCATTTCTAGCTTGAAACTCTAGCTGGGTTAGATAGCCAGGAAGCAATAGCTAGGGTCCAAGACCAGCCCAGGCAAAAGCATGATACCCTATCTGAAAAACAAACTGCAATCCAAAGGGGTGGGGGACATAGTTCCAGGGGTTAGAGCATCTGTCTAGCAAGTAAGTGCAAGGCCTTGTATTTGATCTCCAGTACCACAAAAAAAAAAAAAAAAGTGACATATTGTACAGGGTACAATGCAAGCACTACCCATTTCTGTTTTTGTTTTTTTTTTAATCACATGTGTTTTTATGCAGAGAAAAGTTCTCGAGTGATCCGTATTGAATTGTTAAGAGTGCTTAGCTGGATTTTTCCTTGCAATGGGACATTTCTGTCATCAGAAAAAGCTGGACATAGAGAATTTGGGGCCATTTTTTCCCCTGTCTTTGTAAATAAGTCTAGCTGGAGAGTAATATTAAAATTAAAACTTCAGGAAGTGATGCTGTGGCTCAAATTGGTAGAGCCCTAACCTTGAACACAAAAGTTCAGGGACAGCACCCAGGTCCTGAGTTCAAGTCCCATGACCAAAAAAAAAAAAAAGTCAAAGCTTTAATGTATATGTCAAGTTCTCTACTAGCCTTATATTAAGACCATATTCTTTCTCTTTCTCTGGCTTTTTTTTTTTTTCTTTTGGTGCCAATCTTGGGCTTGAACTGAGGGTCTGGGCACTCTAACCTGAGCTTCATTTGCTCAAGACTAGCATTCTGCTCTACTTCTGGCTTTTTTAGTTTATTGGAGATAAAAAGTCGTACAGACTTTCCTGCCTGGGTTGGCTTTGAATTGTGATCCTCAGATCTCAACCTCCTAAGTAGCTAGGATTACAAGCGTGAGCCACCAACACCTGGCCTCTGTGTGCTTTTAACTAGGACATTGAATTGGGGCCAGCCCTGGTCTTTCCAGTTTGTAGCTGGCATACATTGGCTCTGTTCCTAAGGTTGGGCATCCAATGGTGAACACAGATGAAGTCCCTGCCCTCGTGGAGATGTTTGTGATTGACGGATAGCACCAGAGAAACCACAAAGAGAAGGGACACAAAGTCAGGGCCTACGGAGCATTCTACTACTTGAGTCACACCCCCAGCCCTTTTCTTTTAGTTTGTTTTTCAGATAGGGCCGCTGCTAACTTTGCCTAGACTGACCTCAGACCAAGAGCTTTCTACTTCCACCTCCTGAGTAGCAAGGATTACGGATGTATACCACCAGGCCTGGCTTGTTTTAAGAGAAGGTCTGGACAACTTTTATCCCAGCTGGCCTAGATCCTCAATCCTTTAATCTCCCTTGGCAGTAAAGTGATGAGAGGTAGAAACTGAACCCAGGAACCCGGGGAGCAGGCTAGGGCAGGACCCCTAGGGAGAGAACTGGCTAGAAGAGGTGAAGCCCTGGGAATGGGGTAAGGGTGGGGAACAGAGGGAGAAGGAACAGCAGAGAGGAGATACTCTCAGGGGACTGAGGGGCTATGCTAGGGACTAAGGCAGGCAGAGACAGACTCAGACAGTGAGACCACAGTGAGATGAGGTCTAGGTCACCTAGGATGAAGTGACCTGTGTCTGGGGCCAGAGAGGGAGCATCCAGGAGCTAGGCCGAGGCCACTGGCAAATAGGTGTGGCTGGTGGCCCAGGGGACATGGAGCTGGAAAGCTGAGAGTCCCAGAGAGCTGCCATTCAGAGAGGCTCCAGGCAGGAGAGCACAGGGCATCATTCATGGGGTGACTCCAGTGACAGGGCCCATTCCACAGGACAGGGAGACGGGGGAGGACACGGACACTAGGCAGGTTGTAAGAACCATAGCCAACATTCCCCTGCCACTGGGCACTGGTCCCAGGCCCTCATATTTGCCAACTCTGGCTCATTCCCCCAGCATCTCTTATGCCCATTTCTCCAAGATGAGGCACACTGAGGCCAAGGGCTGCCTGGAGCAGTAGGCTCCTGGTTGGACCCAGATAGCCACGTCCAGTCCTCATCCTGGCCCAAGTGCTGCCCTCTACTGCCCTTCAAGCCCCTTGCAGCCAGAGCCAGCCTCTCTGGCTTGGAGTCACTCCAACCCCCCCCCCCTTCTTGCACCCCTAACCCCACTTCTCGGGCTTGGCCACCCCACCCCACCCTTCCAGGACTCGGACTCAGACACTGAGGGAGGAGCAGCCGGTGGAGAGGAAGAGAGTGAGTAATCTCTTGGGAGACAGGGGTGGGAGTGGGGGGGGGGGCTGAGGATATGCTATCAACGCCATCAG